GTTAGATACGCTAGGTATCTACAGATCTTATCGATAAAATCGCGATTGCCAGTACCTCATAGATACATGATCAAAGAGTGCATCATACGCAGCTTTACGAGAATTTTTCAGTGTGTAAGAAAAAAACGTATATTCGGCACGAGGGCCGGTCTATTAAAGCAAAGTGGCACTTCGCAAAATCGATTTTCATATCAGCTTTATATCGAAGTTCAGAAAATGTTAATTTTGCAAAAATTAAACGAAAGCAGATCTATGCGACTAAATGTGTGATTTATAAACATATTAAACAAAAAAAAGAAAATTCCTAAATATTATGTACAGTTTATCTCTATTACATTCATATTTTTCTTATGCTTTTATATCTCTAATTTCTGTATTTCGTATCGACTTATACCTTTATCGAAATTATTAAAAATAAGATTAAAAAATAATTGCGTGAATTTTTTAAAGAAATTAGTTATACAAAAATTACAATACAAAATACAATAGAAATATGGTGCATCCGTGGGTTCCTCTTTTAAACGCGCGATACATATCTTTGCAATTTCGACGCTCAAACGGAATAATATCCGGTGCCTGCGCCGGCACTCGCAGATGAAACGTATCCAAATCTCGTTTAAGCGCACTAACGAAACAAATGGGACGCGAGATACGTACAATTTATGACGACGACGGCATTGTATCCATATACACATGGCGCGGATAAATCCGCTAATTAATACCGTGCCGTTAATTGCGATCGGTCCAACCGGCGTGGAGCGGTAGAGTCGGTCCGCGCCGTGAAACGTGTCGATTAATATCGATTACATCCGTGTCTATTACGACACGTGGCCGATTCGACGCCGTAAAATCGTACGAGACGATAACGAGATATCTAATTCTGTCGTGTATCGCATAATGAATAGCGAGTAACGAGGAATGAGCAACGACTGCTGTCGCCTGTCACTCTCCCCGGGAATGCTGTCACGTCCCCTCACCGGAATCGAATCGCGTTACAACAGTGACAACTGATCATTTTTGCCGATTATTCTTGTAATCAATTAACACAGCGGCCGTTAATTAAAGCAATTGTTAATCAGGCATTCGGATATTCAACGGGGAACTTTATCGTATGTATGCTAATAGCGCTAACTAATGCAAAATAGCTTGAACATTTGTAAAATAATCATTCATTAAGAAAATGTAAGGCTTAAAAATTGCCGTTGGTATATCGATAGCGCAATGCTTTTATTTGTTTTATTAGCGCGAATTATCGCGATATTCCAGATACATTCTGTAATTAGTCTACAAATGTTTCGGCGATTTCTCGTTGAGCCGCAAAGTCCAATAAATGAAATAAATGAATGTAGATATGTTCGATACTGCTGATAAATTTAATGTAGAAGTGATAAAAACGTTCCCTTCGACAAACTTTTTTATTGTTACGCTGTTTAAAAATCGTTGTGTGCGAATCGATTAAATTTAGCTCCAAGTTACTATAAATATTCCCTACCTTTGATAGATTTAGCTATTAGTTTCTAAAATTAGAAACTAATTTTAGAAACTCTTTTTTTATCATTACATAACATTGTGCGAAAACTTTTTTTCACGCTTTTCCCAAATTTCAAACATATATTTATTTCGTTTTAAATATAATCGTAATTAAAGAAGGGATTATTGTGATGTAATAATAAGATATTGCTAGAGACTTTTTTTACAAATATTTTTTCTTTCGTGCCACGAAGTTCATCGCACACAATGAGGAATTCGAACGAAAATTTATCAAAAGCAACAGAGAGTATGGAAGTTTAATAATAGAAACTTTGCACAATTTATTAAAATTAAAAAGCCCGATAATTTTTAATGAGGGAGAAACTACCACGGAATTTTAATATAATACACGATGAAAGAAATTAATAGATCGGTATTGTTCAGAACGGGGCATTATTCAATTAATATCCGCATTCCTATATAAATAATACTCGTTATTTTAATTAATGACCAGCTGAATTTGTTAAGCCTCTTCGGAAGAAATTACAATCGAGGAGGTATTTCAGGCAAATATGAAACAAGAATCGGTTAAAACCGCTCGCAACTTTCAGTAGAAAGTTTCGCTTAAATTACCTCGGGGCGAGGAGAGATGATAAAATATTACAATAAAATATGTCCGATGTTTTTCACGAGGCACCCTCGCATTTCGCACCGAATACGCTATATATCCGGTATATATGCAGTATATTTTTATTCGTACTTCTCTCTCATCCGCTTGGCAAGTTGCTAGATCAAAACTTGTACCGTGTGTCGCGTACTTCGTTCCTTCATTCGGGCCTTTGGCTTACCGTGTTGTGTCCCTCCCGAGCCGTTACAGAGAGAAATACAAATGCGAGATCGCGATCGTCTCGATCAGATAGACGTCGTGCGATGCATTTCGTTACGGATCAATTACAGGAAGTAATGCGGGATATTAAATTTCTCCTCGTTTTTCTCAGCTCGCTCGTCCTCATGCCGCTCGCTTTTCCTTCCCTCTCCCCGCCTCTGTATTTCTCTCTCCGTCCATCTGCTGGGTATTAACCCGGTAGCCTACTTCTCGACGCCAACAGCCCGAAGGCTTTCGAAAATACTCCGCACGGTTGTTCCCGACAGCGATCGCTTTGACGCGAGGTGCCAAAAGATAACGACGATAACCGCCTCAGAATTTTCTCTCGAGACGCGTCTCCGTGAGACGCGTTTTGACAAGACGCACTTTCGAGGACGAAAAGCACAGAGTGCTTTCAATTTATGTACCATTTCTAACAATGTAGATTAAGTTTAATCTCGGTTTAACTTGTTTTTTTTTCCTTTTCCAAAAAATTCGAAAAGAGAGAAGATTAGAAAAAGATTAGAAAAAGATAAAGGATAGATTTACATTTTTAGGAGATTAAAATGAATCTGCATCGATAGAAGTGGATATTAGTGATACAAGTCGACGTATCTTTGTTTTATCTTTATCAGTCACTAAAAGCCGAAAAAGATAAAACAACGTTCATGTTGACTTATATTCATGTTGGAAAGCGCTCACACAGATTCAAAAAATTTGCGCGCGTTTTCTGGGTGTATTAAGCTATGAAGGAAATCTCTGGGGGAAAATATATTAAATCCACTCACCACGTCGGCAACGTTGCCGGAGCCCTCCCTCATGCCATCCCTGTCCGTGTGTCCTCCTGAAAGAGATAATAATGAGTTTATCAATAAAAAAAAAAAAAAAAAAACCTTTAGAATGTTTCGAAATTTCGCGCATTTCACTTAATTAAATGAAACTTATATTAATATTTTTAGAGCGTGTAATTGCTTGGATGTTACTCGTAAAAATCTGCGCTTTTCTCGGAGATGACTTTGAGGCGGAATTCGAATTGACGAGGCACAAATTGTGGCGAAAAATAGAGATAAAAGATCGCAAACTGCGAAAAACAAAGATAGAAGATCGCAGAAAAATAGTGAATATGCAGCCAAAGAGGGAAAAAAACCTGTTATTACTCGAGCTCATGTGCGACATAAATTGTCTACGTTTCGTCAAATCATCCGAGCGGATGATAAGCGATAATCGCAGGAGATGTTGATTGGAATTGCGAAACGATCGATCCTGCGAGACGAGAAAACTTTCCATCAGGTTTCTGCTGTAAATCACCTAGCAACGACCGTTCAAACGGAAAATTCCGTTCGTGCGTTTCGTACAACATCTTTCAGATGTAAATACAGCTAATAAAGACAAATGGATTCAGCAAACGGAATACTGTCGACGACAAACAGTAGACCCGGCACTTTTTTGAGTTGCGTGCTCTTATACTCCCTTGCATGTATACAGAGAAAAAAATCTGCGAGATTCAGACTTGGATGGAGCATTCTTCAAATAGAAGTTACATGAAGTATATTTAAAGAACAAAAGAGAATGTAGGAAACGAAAAGAAAAGAGAGAGAGAGAGAGACAGAGAGAAAAGAAAATTCAAGAAAATTAACGAGGTCGACAAATATGGCTCACTACTCAGTTGTGCTGAGAAATAATGTATACAATAATTATTTATAAATTACATTAGAGGTAAAATTTCTTTTTAAATTATTACAAATTAAATATTGAGATATTCTGTGTTTTATTGACAGAAGTTTTGCGAAAGTTATTATTTATCGACGTATTTGATATCCTGCAGTATTTTAACACACACACACACACACACATTATACATATATATTACTGTTGAGGGATTTAACTTACAATTCGAAAAGGACATTCGGAGAAAACAAAGTACTTCTGACAATTGTAATGTGATAACCTTGAAATTTAAGTATCCGCAACTAATTTTATAAAATAGAAGAACGGAAGTAGCGTGAGAACTCAAAATATAATCCCGGTAACAAGTATGATGTAATTTAATATATGCGATAATAATATAGAAATTGTTACTCTATGTTAGACATTAATATTATTTCATCAATTGTATGATTTATTAAATATTAGTAAAATAAAGCGCGCGGAATAAATATAACTATCATTGTATATATTTTATATGATAAATTATTTGTTTCCTAGATTTAGACAAATATCTTTTTGAAATGAGTCATTACATTTATATAACATGACTCATTTTTCGATATCAATAAACATAATAGCTGTTTCTATTAAAACGACTATTTTAAAATAAAAAAAAAAACAAACATAATAATGTTAAGTATCTATTCTTAATTTATACAGCATATTTTTCAGTTTAAAACAATATAAATTCATAATTTTTTCAATCTCCTATTATTGTTTTTTTTTCAAATATACCTATAAGATTCGAATTAAGAATCATCATAAACATTCACAAATACACCAAGCTTAACAACGTCACCCTAAAATGCAACGGGCATTTTAATCTCCAAGACGGATCAGTTTTTACTATTTTTTTTTTTTATTTACTTTTTAATGGTTGGTCCTTTTTCTCAGAATGCATACCGAGTGTCGAGTTAAGGATCATCACTGACGTTTATAAACACAAGAGTGACAATGCCGTCCTAAAGACAAGTTAGCCGAAGTTAACCGAAGGGTAACTTAAATTCCCAGGTAGATTGGCTTTTCCTCGATCACGAAACGGGGACTCGTGCGACGGAATTCCGTTTGTTCCGCTGCTACGCCGCTTTCTCGCGAAAGTACGCTAACCGGAGAGCGTACACGGCGAAATCGGTCCGAATCTGAAGCGGTAGCGGCGCCAAAGTAGCTACCGTGTCGCGCAGTCAACAGGATTTCACAGCTGTTTTCCAAAGCTGCTCGGGATTAAAATTCGCAACAATTCCAGGAACGCGATCGAATGTCAAGAAGATACGAAGATCGAACGATGATTCTTAGCGCCGCGAATGTTCGAATCCCTACCGCTGTCAACGACTAGATTAACTTCAATCTTGCTTTAATTTCCTCTTTATCTTTTTTTAATTTTTTAAAAGAAAGAAAAAAAGAGGAGGATATTAAATAGAGATTAAAGTTAATCTATATTGGTAGAAATAAATCCAGGACGTGACCTGTCGCTCACGATTCGACTTCACCGGAACGATTAGAGAGTTGGAGCACAGATTCTAACAAACTGTAGTCTGGGCGAACCGTTCGAAATGAAGCCAATGGTGGTGCTGTTTGATCGATCAGCTATGCTCGACCGACCAACTCGAGTGTCAAGACGTGAAAAACAAAATGTTTGCTTGCGAGCATAAAAAAATCCGTTGATCCGTGTTCGCGAGCGGAGATTCCAGCTTGTTCGTTTTCCCATCAAATGACAAAAATGTGCCGGATGATTTTGCCGTTTCGACCTGATTTCGTGTTTCGAGAAAAACTCGAGAATAATTCTCATTCTCCAAAGTTCTCCGGACTGACACTCTCGATTTCTCTGTTTACATGCCGGGTTACTCACCTTTTTTACGAATTGGCAAAATCTTGGCGATCCTCGACGCGTCCGCGTAATCCAGATCTCGATCGAGGAGATGCTCCCCTCTCCCCTCCGCCCGCCGTCGTCGATTCGATATTCCGTTTTCCACGGTCGCACGGAGGCACCGCAACACGCCGATCCTTTCCGCTCTCCTTTTCCCCCCTGGGAGAGAGAAGGTCTGCTCTTTCTCTCTCAGCGGCACGATCCTAACCTCGCACTGCGCGCGCACACAGACAGATACAAAAGGCGCGCACACACACACAATCACCAGAAATACACGATTCGTCGAACGCGAACGGAAATTCTCGTCGATTTCCGTGCGATCAGGCCGCACTTGGGATCACGGCACGCACTTTCGCACCACAATCATTGGATCCAGGATGATCGAGGAATTTGGCGTTGATCGATCAGCTCGATCCTCTTTCTCTCTTTCTCTCTCTCTCTCT